TCTCGCAGAGAGGCTGGTGGGTTCGAATAGCTGACCTTGTGGTTAGCTGTCAAACACATAACCTACTGTGCCATCAGGACTTCCTATGTATTACTGTATAGTAATTCTTACTTCTGGTTCCCTTTTAAGATAACAAATTGGAACTGCCTGCTATTTAGTTCCTAATAAAGGTGAGGTGATGCTTGAGGAACAGTCCAAGTTCATGGAATGTGCACTGTTCAAATATATCTTTGGATCAAAGGACACCACGTGAAATATCCCTGGACCTAAATGACTACTACAACACCAGGTCCTTTAAATAACAGTCTCGGCGAAGAATATTGGAAGTACCACGGACTGCCGGAAGAAGGAACCAATCAGTCTTGGAAGAAGGACAGAGTGTGCCCTAGACATGAGGACGGTGAGAGTTTGGAGGGGCCCACTTCTGGGGAAGGATGGCACATTGGGTAAAACACAAGGTCATCAGATTAGAGGAGATGGGTTTGACCCATTGGCTGCAACAATCACGAATGTGAGCACAGTGCAGGATCCAGCAGCATTCTCTTCTCTTGTCTGTAAGTTAGGACTGACGGACAGACCCTGGCAGCAATCTTACGTAAGTCGGATCACCAGGCTCACGACATTGTGGTCCTGCTGGGTCTCTGTGAACCAGCAACCTTTTGGTTAGTAACTGAGCATAAAACTACATCACCAAATGTCCTGGTGGGAGAGAGTGCAAAATCATCTCCAGTGAGGACCCTGGCTCAGTGGTCTTTTTTTTTCCCCCCTGCCTACTGAGTCTGTCAGATCCTAAAAGTAGCATCTTAAAATCTCCCCAGGTGATTGCTTTATCCAAGATCTCCACGTGTGTCCAGGCGTTATTTGCCTTGCGTATTTGCCATGTTGCTTGGAGCATCGAGATTTCTATTTGTACAGAGGTACAAGACAAGCACGCTTGGCTTTGAAAGGATATCTTGTAATCACATTGCCATGGCTGTTCTTTTGTTTGTGTTTGTGTTGGATTGCCTGATGAGATTTTCTCGAATATCTTTAGCCATCCTGTTACTCCCCACTTTTGCCAATTAATGTCACATGTGTTCTTCCCCCCTCCCTCTCTCCCTCCCTCCCTTTCCTCAGCCTAGGAGTCTTATCTTTTCACTGGAGAATCCAGCCTTCTTGCACATGTGTTCTCGTAACTGACTGTGGTAGTTCCATAATTTCATGTCCACTTGAAGATTGTATATAAAAGTGTGGGGGTGGGGTTTAGCCTGTCAATCAGGTCGCAAACTGATGACCTCACTTGGAGGTGCCGATGGAGCCAATACTGCTCTCTGGAGGCTGGCCTCTCTCTTTGTCTCTGCCTTGACCCTCCTGCTTGCTGGCCACCCTGAGACAGGCTGGAGCCCTGCCATGTTTTCTGGTCACTGTTGTGACGTTGAGCCCATGGTTGCAGCCACTGTGCCCATCCAGCCCGTTGAGCGTCTTCCTCTTTCTTTCACGGCTCTTCTGCTTTACCAAGCATGATGCTCTTCCTTCTCCAGGGACTGGTCTCTCCTGACCACATGTCCAAAGTCCATGAGGCGACGTGTCTCCGGCCTTGCCTCTCAGGAGCAGGCA